TCGCTGGAACCAGAGCGGGGAGAGGCTTACACAGAAGCAGATCACTCTCAGTTCTTTGGGGAGCTACGTGATTATCCATCTCAGGCCCTCTGCCCTACCTCCCCTTTCCACCCACCCAGCAGAGAGGAGCTCCCGAGGTCTCAGCTTGCAGAGCTGGTAATTAGCCCTTTGTGTCCAGTTAGCCACCTTTCATCCCCTCTGCTTGCCGGTGTCCGCTTTCCCCGTTAGCATCCCTCAGCTCTTGGCCGAACCCTCCGCCCTCTTTGTGGCCAGCTCAGGCTGCTTGTCAGGGGTGATGGCTGAGGGACGCACACAAGCACACAGGGGAGGGCTGGTCCAACCAGAATTACTCACATTTTCCATCCCAGGTGCCAGACATCTCTCTCCTCTCCCTACCCCAGAGACAGCCAGGTTTAGATCACCTGGCGTCGAGGCAGACAGTTGATAGCTAGGCCCCCAAATTTCAGGCCTTTGGAGCCTTGGTATTGCCTTTCAGGTCCCCTCCATGGCTGAAACGGGAGCTGACTGACTGGCAACTTTTATACTTAAGCCAAAAGCCTGCCGGCTAACTCCTCATCGCCCAGGGCTCCCCCTCAACCCCAGATTTCTCTGCTGCGCGGCCGCCTGTGTTGGTCCATCAGCCAAACATCCTGAATTTCTCTGGACAGTCCTGCTTTCGTTGTCCTCCTATTTACACGCTTATGTCTGTGCCATCCAGGGCAGTTGCCACAGGTATAAACGTATTATATTTAAATATATCCTATACATGTATGTTAATAAAAATGAAAGAAAATGAACATTTTTAGCCTTGCTTCAAGCACTCAGTGGTCACACATGACTAGTGGCTACTGTTGGGCAGCGCAGGTAGAAAACATTTCCACGATCACAGAAAGTTCTGATCTACACAGCCAGAAATTCTAGTGTCCCGGCTTCCAGACCACATCTCACCGGCCGTGTCTTCCTCCTGGAAGGGCCTGAAGTCCCCTTGACCTTTCGAGTGAACCCATTTGAGTTCCCAAAACGTCAGGGCCTCTTGGCATCAGAGGTCACCTGGCAAAGGTTGCCCCTGAAGACGTGTCTCCCATAAAATTCACCAGGACCGCGTTTGCGTGCCTGCTGTTTCTACACAGCGGATACCTGGGGCCCGGGGTATTCTTGATGTGTTTGATCTTCAACACATCACTTCATTCATGAAAGAGGGAACTTGGTGTCTATTAGCTTAATCCAGACCATCAGCCCCAACGGACAGCCCAGTGTGACAGCTGGATTGTGGAATCCAGCACTGGCAGAGGGAGGAAAGGGCAGAGCTGAGAGAACCACAGCCTGCCCCCACCCCCTGCCCCCAGGCCTTCACCACCCTATTGTCTGTGTCCACGGGTTATGTATATATGCAAACAAGTTCTTTGGTTGATCTCTTCCTGCCTTTTGTTTGTTTGTTTTTTTTTCTTTTCCTTGTCCAGAGAGAAGGGGCGCTTTGGGGTAAGCGGTTTAACCAGAAGCAGTTTCTTTTTGGAACAGGGGCACTTCCTCATTCCCTGCCAGTTCCTGCAGGCCAACGGCATGCCGGGCTGGCCTGCCGCCTCAACCCTACCTGTCATGTGCTTGGCAGGGCTGGCTTGAGTCCTTTTTTCCACTGCCTTCCCCGCCCCGGCAAATAGCAGTTGCAACCTCTCGTTTTTCTGCTGCCCAGATGATTAAAAAGCATGACTTAGTGGAAAAATCTTGACCTCCTTAGGGTCAGCCTCTTCAGCAGCTGCCGGAGATAAGAGTGCGCTGGTGAGATCCCCCTCTCGCAAGGCTTTCTGTCTGTGTGCAAGGAAACGAGAAGCTGTTGGTTTCTGGGTGCCTTTTGTTTGTCTTTGGAGAGAGCTACAATCTCCAGAGTCATAAATTGGTATTATCTACTAATAAAATCTCTGATGGAAGGGTTAGATTATTATAGTGATTTTTTAAAAATGTAATTAACAGGCTTTGTAAAAAAAAAAAAGTTTTATGGGTTTTTGTGTATTTTTTTTTGATGGTGCCTGCTTTGAACAATTCAGGGAGCAAAGTTCTCTGGCAGCTAAGCAGTATCAGAAGTTCACTGCTCAGACTTCCCCCAAGGACGTCAGAGACTTAATTGTGCAGCTGCTGGTATGAAAGGCATTGTGTGGAGTTATGTTAATTGCTGCGTTAGTATGGCTGCCTCTTGTTTGCAGATTGAACACTTACCGGAGTCCTGTTGAAACGGCTCCAGAAAGGACATTCAAATTTGACTTTAGCATGTGTCCTCACAGCATTTTATTATATTTGGATTTGCCAAGCACTTGTACCCATCTAGTGAGATACGAAGGTCACTTTGCTTCTCAAAAGGAGAAACTGAGGAACGGGTGATTGAGAGGACTTGGCTGGGGTTATACAACTGATGTCAAGGACATAATGAGAATTGGGGGTCTTTGGCTGGATGCTGTGTTATCAAATGAACACATTACTTAAAGTCCCACCCCACCCCTGCCTATTTTAGCTAAAGGCCTGCTTCCAGCTTAAAACAAACGTCCATGTTCTCCACCCTTATAATCCTCCTCCTCTTACTTCTTGTCCCTGTCACTCTTGCTCAGATGGGTGATCACAGTTAGAATCTGGCTGCCATCATTTTCATCTGGGCGTCACAGGGCAGGCACAGCCCTAGGCTTGCGGTCAGAGGGTAGAGGTAGGGGGCCGAGTCTAGGCCAGGTGCCCATCTGTTGATATTTCACAGCTCTTTCTCGGGTCCTGAAGATTTAGAACAACTGCCCGGACTGGGAAGCTCAGCTGCCCAGAGGGTCATCATGGGGCCCCTGGCAGCCAAATGAGCCATTGAAACCCACAGTCTTGCCCACCCTCCCTGGCCAGTTTTCTGTCTGTAAAATTGACATGTTCACCCAGTGGCATCTATTCATTTTTTAGAAGGTACAGGCATTGAAAACATCTGGGTTTGAATCCTGGCTCTTCCACGTGGCCCTCAGAGCCTCAGGTCTCACTGCTGTTGGGGGTGGTGAGGCCGAAAGGAGGTGATGTCTGAAAGCTTTGTAGACTTGTGTCGTCACACACAGGGAGAGGCTCCTGCTGCACATGAAGAGAAGTGAGGAGCGGCCCAGAGAGGCCCTTGACCCTCTCCCGGCTCAGCACCGGCGGGTCTGTGTGCACAGCACAGTCCGAGGGCAGAATTGCAGGGCTGGCCGCACCAGGAGGAGAAAGCCAGCAGTGGGGTCAACCTGCCCCGAGCTTTCTTTCAGCCCCACTCCCCCAGCCCCTCCCTTGCCTTGTTTTCCTCCTGGCTGCCATTAAGGTACTTTTTATAAGGCTTGTTAAGTCTTTAATGATGCCTGGTTGTGCAGCTGGCTTAAGGCTTAATCCCCAGCAATAGGGCTTTATTGGATAAATGGTTAATAATCACTTGTCTGCAGGGATTGGGGAGGTTTCGGCGAGGCCCATGACTCCCCGCAGCCCTGCGTGACCTGTGACGTGGTTGGTGACTTGACTGGGACAGCATTGCTTGGGGTTGGGGTGCAGGAAGATGGGGCACCCTCATAGCACCACGGAAGGCCTGCGATTGTAGGAGAGCATTTCTGCCTCTGGGGAATGGAGGACGCCTGTCTGTTGCCATGGGCCGGTCTGGATCTGAGCCAGGCATCTCTTCAGGTGTGTGTTTCTACTCAGTCCTGGTTTTGCCTTCCTTTCTTTTGCTATTAACGAGCTGTGTGACCTCGAGCAAGTCTCCTGACCCCTCTGGGCCTCAGTTTCCTCATCTATCAAATAGAGGTTGGAAGAGATGGCCTTGAAGGTGCCGTGTGATTCTGAGAGCCACAGAGGCTCCTCTCTCCAGCTCTGGGATGCGTCACCGAGGACTGTGAATGGCAAGGGACCAGCAGCCCATCGGATTAAGTACTTAAACTGCTGGGCAAAGAATTGGGTCAGCTGTAGTCACAGGGCAGTGTATGCGAAGGGAATACACAGAGGCTTTGATTTTATAGTCTGGTTTGGGGTTTCTCCCACTTCTGGGCAGGACACACAGTAGGCATTTTTTAAAAGCCTCGTTGATGGGACTCTGGAGAGAGAAGTAAATTCTTTCAGGTGTAGAGTCATCAAGGAGCCAGGAATTGTTCACAGATGAAAAAGGAGCCTGGGGTTTTGTCCCCAGCCTGCCTGTGGCTGGGAGCCACGCCTCAACCCTTATTTGGCCTTGACTGTTCAGTTGAAAGGAGATCAGGACCCATCTATTGGAGGAGCGGGGGTGGTACTGGGGCACGGGCACAGGAGTCAAACAGACCTGGGTCTGAATCTCCTTCCACCACCCATTTCCAGGCTGCATGGCCTGGGCAGCCTCTTTCTCTAAGCCTGGGATTCTTTAAGGTAGTATCAGGAACACCTGTTTGTCAGTATGACTATGTTAGTTTAAAATTATATATGTAAAGCACCTGGGAGCTGGCTCATACAAGGTGTCAGTAATGGTCCTGAGAGGAATTTTTTTTAATTTAAAAATTGATGAGAGAGAGAGAGAGAGAGAAACATTGATCTGTTGTTCCACTTATTTATGCATTCATTGGTTGATTCTTATATGTTCCCTGACCGGGATCGAACCCATACCCTTGGTGTATCAGGGTGACACTCTGACCAACTGAGCTACCGAATGAGACCTGTCAGACTGCCAGAGTAAAATGCTTGCTGTAAACAGAGATGTGGCTTACTGAGGATGACATGGCTTTGAGTTATTTTATCAGAAATAAAATAAAACAAATAGTGCAAACAGAGTTACCCCACCTTTTAGACTCGGTGGTGCTGCCCTGAAAACTTGCAGCTTCAAGTTGAGGAATGCTTTCCCACATTGCCCAGAATTCGCTTCCCGGCTGCTGTACCCTGGCTTAGCACAGTCCATGGCATAAGGCAGGTGCTCAGCCCTGCCCGCGGGAGTGAGATGAAAGAAAGGAGTTGCACTTTTTAGATCTGTACGTGACCGGGCACTCGCTCTGCTTTTATTTCAGATCTTCCCTGACCCGTCAGACTTTGACCGCTGCTGCAAACTGAAGGACCGCCTGCCCTCCATAGTGGTGGAACCCACAGAGGGGGAGGTGGAGAGCGGGGAGCTGCGGTGGCCCCCCGAGGAGTTCTTGGTCCAGGAGGATGAGCAGGACAACTGTGAAGAGACAGTGACAGAGAACAAGGAGCAGTAGATTCCCACCGACTCCCCGCGGGTCACACCAGACAGCATCTGTACCTGAACTGTGTTCTTTCCCATTGTGATGGATGAAGAGAGTGGGCCACAATCGTTCTGAAACGTCAGACCAGGCTTCCGTTTTGCTCCTGCGAATCACTGAGTTGGTTTTCTTTCCCTTTCTTTTCTTTTCTTTTTTTTTTTGAACTGTGTCGCGCCCTGGAGCCCTCTGGGGCACTTTGCAAGGCCTTCTGAGAAAGGAAGCTGCTTGCGGGGTTGGGGGTGTGGGGAAGCTTTGGTTTTTGAGATCAGTATCTGAACTCAGCACCTAGAGGCAGCGGTGGGATTCCAGGGGGGCTCTGCGGGTGGGGGGGATGGGGCGTGCACAGCGAGCAAGGAACATTTGGGCTAAGAAAACAAACACGGGACAAAAGAGCAAATGCACGGTTTAAGGAAAACATTGAGCAGAGAGGTGCAGCCAGGAAGTACTTACTTCTCAGTGAGCCATCTCTCTGCTGCTGGGGCATCAGACAACCAAGTCTTCATCTCTCTCCAGCTTCGCCCACCGCCAGCCTTTGCTTTCGTTTCAGGTGTGTTGCCTGTTACAGGGGAGGCGGGTAAAGGAGAGCAGTGCACCCTGGCTGCCTGCAAAGCCAGTCGGAGGTGATGCTCAGAAAGGGAAAGGCCCCCCATTCCTTCTCCACGGCCCCTCTGCTCCTGGCTGTGGCGGGTTGACATCCCTGCGGTCAGCTGGAGTGGTTGTTTTTAAGAGGCAGTGCTTTTGAGCTTCTCTTCCCTTATTTATCCTTTTTTCCCCG